TATACATATGCCTTTTTTTCAAATTCAATTTTTTTTTTCAAAAATTTCAAAAATGGATTTGAGTTCAGGGCTTCTTTTGTCATATCTTACATTTTATACTGTACCAAATGTTTTAATTAGTTAAGTGTTTAATAATTGGACTTGTTCTCTGTAGCGATGCTGTTACAATACTGGTAGAATGTGATTTGGCATCATCTTGCTAAATGCTCAATTTGGCAAGGCCTTTCTTGAAAAAGATTCTTTCTTTATGGCTGCATATTTTGCTCCAAAACTGGTATATATTATTCAGTGTTAATTTGATGTTTACAATATGCGATTAAGCCATAGCATCCTTTTTCTTAAAATTGTAAGTATATATATGCACACGTATGCACACGTAAGGCAGTTTGATAATGTACAATTTTAAGTAAATAAGATGGCATATCCTCAAGTATGTTTTTATAATTATTTTAGTATGATGAAAATAATTCTTAAATCCTCTCATACAGACTTACTTGCTTAATCATGTTTGTTTCCATAAAAATACCCAATATCCATAAAGTCAGAAAGAAAACAAATCATTTCACAAACATTTTGAGAGGCAGCCAGCAAGAATTGTGTCATGCCGATACCAACATTAAACTTCATACTTCTTGAATGTCAGAAGTAAGATGTATGAGGGTGTGTGTGAGTGTTTGAATGTTTTATTTAAAAATAAATAAATAAATATAGGGAATTGAATGCTATGACTTTAAAAACTGAATTTGAAGCATTTATATGATATAGAACACACACAGAAGTATAGCCAAGGAACATTAAACTTTTTGGATTTTCATTTGTATTTACAGTCAGGTGAAGATTCCCATTTTATATCATCAGTTTTATACAGTCCCATGTAGGCTTCTATAAACCTGGTCAGCACTTAAAACACAAGCTTATCTACTATTAGTGGATTTAGGTGCTTCTTTTTGAATGCACAACCATACATAGAAGAGTAATTAAGAGCCTATACCTGTACCATAAAAGTAATAGAAATGAGGAATGACGAGACTGCTGCTACTCTATATTATTAAATTTTTTATTTTATTTATTCATTTATTTATTTTGTTACATTTTAGATTTTTTTTTGCTTAACTGATGGGTAAAAAAATGTTATACAATGTTCTAACTAGCGTGAGCTGCATTATAGTCAAGGATAAACTCAGTACATTCGGTGCCTGGAAGTACACCGAAGCTGCAAAAAAATGTCCACTCATGATCGCATTATACTACTCAGCTATCTACTCAATATCTACTCACTACAGTACACACACCCATAACTGTACCTGTGAGAAGCCCGTAGAAAGAAAATTTTTATTTTGTGAGAGTTTTAAGGCAAAGGAGGGTGGAATTGACAAAATCTAATATGAAACCTTGTATTTGGTGCTTTTGTTCCCTTGCAAGAATAAATGTCCATTATTACAGTTCTTGGCTGTTGTTGTCTTTTGTCAATTTTTATTTTCACACTAACTCTTTAGATCATTTTGCTTTTCGGTGAATAAAGTTGTTATATTGTTTATTGTTCCAAATGAAATCTTGATGTTTTGGCTGCATAAAAGACTGCAATACTGTGTATGAAATACTTCGCCTACATATTCAACTTAAAAAGAAAAAAAATAGAATGAAAGAATAGAAATCGGGAACTACAAAGTTTTAAGTCTAAACACTTCCAATTTAGCCTGCACTCTAGCTTTCAACAATCTTCTCAATGATTCTTTGATTTCCTGTGTCTGAAGAGCATAGATTATTGGGTTTAACATGGGAGGCATGACACTGGTCATAGAAAGGTTTATGATCCTTGCATTTGGATGTATTACAGGCCAAAAAACATACACAAATATAATAGGAAGGAAATAAATTGCCACTAATGAAAGGTGACCTGTGCAGGTTTTAAAAGCTTTCACTCTTTCCCTAAATGTAGAAATTTTTGACAAAGAATAACCGATACAGCAGTAACCTCCCACGATAAATGCCAGTGGAAACCCAAGAACAAGAACTATTGCCAAAAACGCAATTATATGATTAGGGGTAGCATCATTGCAGTCAAGAAGATAAAAAGGACCATGATCACAATAGTAGCTCTGAATAATCACAGATTGACAGAAGGAAAGTCTGGTGAGAAGGCCATCTGCAACAAGTGTAAGAGTGATGGCCAAAAGCAATCAAAGACAAAATGAGCTTTTGGGTCACTCTCATTTGATAGTGCAGAGGGTACATGATAGCCATGACTCTGTCAAAGGACAATACAACCAGATTAAAAGCCTGCATTGAAATTAAAGTAAAGCAGAAAAACATGAAAGTCAAGCAGTTGTTGTAAGAGATATAATAATGGTTAAACAGCGAAATGTCAAGAACCTTTGGCACCAAAGCAGAGCTACTTAACAGATCTGTAAATGCAAGATTAAAAACTGCAATATATTTAGGACTTCTCAACATACGATCCAAAATTATTACAATCATCACTAAAGTGTTCCCCACCACTGAAAAAATGTAAATAAAACATAGAAAGACGAAATAATATCTAATATTAGGTATGCTAATGAAACCACTTATTATAAAATATGCAGACTGCACAAAGGTGATGTTGTTCTCAATAGCTGAGTTCAAAAATTCCATTAGATAACCCTCTGTTAATCTTCTATAATTCTCTGTGCCCTATCTTCTTAGGTAGCCTTTGTTCTCTGATATTTCAGTAAAATTCAGTTTATCAGTATATCCTAATATCACCTGTGAAGGTTCAAAGTGCTCCTTCTATCCTGTTTTAATATCTTAATTAATATATTCAAGTTTTAGTTTTCTGTTTAGTTTTTCTGTTCTAATGTTTGAAATTTTGGATTCCTGTTTTAATTTTTTTCATTGTTCTATGGTTTGACTGATTTGAATTGTAGCATTGCTGAATCTGGTTTCTGTTTTTGGCTATTTTAGTGAAGAGTTTTTGATTGGCATTAGAGTTGCAGTCAACATCCCTGTGTGTCTGTTTGCGGATCCTTCACTCTTGTTTTGTGTTTACACCTCGGTCCATTTGCATTTCCTTATCTTTAAATCCTAAGTGTTAGCATTCATATTAGTCTATTAGTCTATTTTGATTACTCCCTGTTTTACATTAAAGGTTTTTTTTTTTCATGTCCTCTCCCCCTGATTGTCCTGACTGTTTTCACATGTCTTGGCTCCCTTCTTTTTCTAATTCCCAATCAGCTATTCATATATACCAGTGGCAGTTACATCAGGACAAGCAAGGCAAACACTTCTTGCCTTGTCATAAATTAAAATGTTTCAAATTAAAGCGATCTTACTCTTTTAATCTCACACTGCTCTGTCATAAAGCTCCTCACCTGTGAATTAATATGTGCATCAAACATTTTTATTATTGCTGTCTTGTGGCCACTGTCAGCTATTGCCACTGAAAGCTGCACTTACTTCAGTCTCATAACAAAGTGTCATCTCTGCCCCTGACAGCGTGTCGTACCCCATTAACAGTGACTGGAGCTGTAGGTTCTAAGGGCAGCAGCTTGTTTCTGGCACATGCACATTGTATATAAACCAATGGTCCATAAAACAGGCAAGTTGAACAGGTACAGGCTCAGCAACACTTTGAGATCTATGGAAATATCTCAATTTATTACATGTAACTCAGCTGTTTTGCCAAACTCTCCCCTTACTTTCATTAATATTTTAATCTCCCCTGTAGATATTGACGGGTAACTACATCATAAATTGCCTTTGAATTCAGCGGATAAGTTTGACTTATCTGACTGTTTTGTTTCACTGAATGCGCCTTATAAACAGACCCATTCATCAACAGTGCGCCTTATAATCCAGTGCGCCTTATGGTCCAAAAAATATGGTAGGTAAATAGTGGAGGAGTGGCTTTATAATAAAGCCTACTTTTTGTTTGTGTTCAGGGCATTGAACACAGTGCAGATGTCACACAGTGGAAATTTGTGTTCGTTTTAGGGTTTTTGTTGTTTTGATTGTAATATATTCGTGCATACAGTACTGATTTTATTTGCATGGTTTTACCCTGATATTTACGTTGCATGTTTTAGTGTTGTTGCATGATATTATTTTAATCCACTGTGGACTGGGCGGACAATAGCAGGCAATTGTTGAAGTGTGGGCATGCCCTGAGGCAGCCATGTTTGCAGTAATCGAGAGCCCAAGTGTGGAGTGCAGCTGGGCTGTGTGGCAACGCGCCCATTAGGAAGAAACAGGGCTGAGACAGGAGGTTCCTCCTTGGTTTTCTGGCTGGCGTGGTCTGTCTCTCGGTTTCCTGGTTTTAAAGATAAGAAACATTTGCCCGAGCGTGGCCAGACAGTGGTATCACGGGACTGTGGGGGAGCAAAACGTTGTATTATTATTATTATTATTTTTTGCATAGTGTATATTTATTCCTGTCGGCAGGGATTTTAGCATACTGAAAATGTTTTTATTGCATAAAGGTCCTTTTAAAATTGTGTTTGTAATTCTGAATTTCTTTCTCCTTGGGAATAAATGGTGTATTTAAGACCTGCTCAGTCTCTGTGCCCTGAGAACTGATTTACTTGCTCCCCTCGTCCTTGTACGTGAAAGAACTTTCAGGTGGGATATTTAGACCTACCAGCCTTAGTAGCTACACAAACAACAACTTCAACACAAGTAACACAAAACTAGTTATCCTATTTATCCCAGGGTTTATCAATCTATATAGGAGTGCATTTTAAGGCACACCTAGATAACTCTACCACTGCATCGACTTAACACCAGAATTCCTCTTTGTCTTCTGGCATGTGAGGCATACACATTCAAATTTCAACGTTATCCCTTTGATTTCCAGCTGCAAACTCACAGTTCCATATAAGACTCCTTTGTGCTCTTCAACAATATTCATATACTTTTGGTACAACAATTTCAAATGGGTGGCTTTGGCTCAGGAGGTAGAGCAGGTCGGCTAATAATTGGAAGGTTGGTGTTTTGATCCCCATCTGCTACAGTCTGCATGCCAAATGTCCTTGAGGCACTAACCCCAAGTTGCTCTCTGATACAGTGGTATGCAGAAGTTTGGGCACCCCTGAAAATTTTCACGATTTTTCTTCATAAATCATTGGTTGTTTGGATCAGCAATTTCATTTAAATATATCATATAACTGTCATGATCCTGGGTCCTGTTGACCCAGCGTTTTGTGTTTTCTATTAGTGATTTTGGTTCTGTTGTTCCTTCTGTTTGGTGTTATTCTGTTAAGTCCGCGTTTCCTAGTCTGTGTCTTTGCGTGTGTGTGTTTCCTGTTTTATTGTGAAGGTCTGCGTCTTATGTGAGTGTTTTCAGTTTGCCTCCCTAGTCTCGTCACGTTAATCACTCCCAGCTGTGTCCCCCACCTGTGTGTAATCTCCCTGTGTTCTCTGAGTGTTTTTAAGTCATGTCTTCTGTCTTAGTCGTGGCTGGTTCGTCTGTGTTGTTTCCCCTCGGTCTCCCTGCGTTTCTCCATCCATCTCTCTGTGTATATTTTCCCCGGACCTCCCTGCATCTTTGTTCTGGTTTGTTTTGTTAGTTTGCACAGTTTAGGTTTTCTGTTACAGCTTCACCCGCGCCGTTTCTGTTGTATTTACTTTTGTAAATAAATACTCACCTGCACCAGAGCTGCCGCTTCCGGGTCCTAAATAATCACCACACGGCTTGCCCCGGCAGACCGTGACAGTACGAACCAGCCAACATGGACCCTGCGGCACTCGATCCGTCCGAGGAGCTCCAGGATGACATCAGCTACAACATGGAAATTCTCCTCGGGCTGTGGCTGGAGAACCCTCCATACGAGCTTCGCCGCACCGTTGAAAAGCGGCTACAACAGCTCTTTTCCGGCCTCCCATGGCTTTTGAAATCACTTCCTCCGACCATGCAGGCGTTTCTCCAGCACACTCCCCACCTTCTCTCAGCCACTCCTGCCTCGCTGCCCGACTCGTCGGATGTGATCCTGCCCGGCCCGTCGGAGCCGTC